TTGACTTGACTTGTGACTTGAGAAGCCTCTGACTTGCCCAGTTCTGTTTCTTATAGGCATTGTTTTTTACCATGAAATAGAATTCTGAGACTATAAAAATTGATTCTCATCCGATAAGTGCTAGTAAATGTCATGTTCTGCCTAACTTTTAATCGGATTTGACTTAACTTCTAGGAAAAAAATTTAGAGAAATGACTTGACTTGGCTTGATTTGACTTGACTTGACTTGACTTGACTTGACTTGACTTGGTTGAAAAAATTTTGGAATATGACTTGACTTGACTTGACTTGGTCGAAAAAATTTTGAGGTGTGACTTGACTTGACTTGACCTGACTTGATCGAAAAAATTTTGGGACGTGACTTGACTTGACTTGACTTGAAAGTTTTTTTAGTGACTTGACTTGACTTGTGACTTGAGAAACCTTCAACTTGCCCAGCTCTGGTTTCATGATGGAATTTCGACGAAATAATAGAAGAAAAATCAAAGAGCCTTACTTAGCTTCAGCATGCTGTACTGTCAATGGCGAAGAGCAAGCGAACTATATAGTGGAAAATATGTTTTTGCACATAAGTTGAAGAGAAAAAGAAACACATATCATGCCACTCTGAGAGTGTCTTTATCTTACTTGCAGCATAGAAAGCCATTTGCATGCTTTTGTCATTGTTACTAGAGACACATTGTGTGCATTGTTCATTAGTGACTATGCAAATCTAAGCTGCTCTTACATGTGAAATAATTTTTCTCACAGCAAACTTGAAAAAACAGAAAGATGTTAAATGTTATTCTGAATTGCTTAGTTGTTGAGTGTCGCTAATCGGTCAGCATATGATGGATGAAGCCGGCCAAACCAAGCAAGACAGAACTAAACCAGTTCCTCTAAACGTATAACATATCTCAAAATCCTGTTAATCAGCCTATAAATCATCTAAGAGAGTCATTCTGCTTTTTCATATTTGAGTATTAAAGTAAATTTATAAAGTTCATCCTTTCAGTGAGTTTTTTGGCTCTTTCGTATCAACAACAATTTCACAGTAGCTGAAATCGGCGATACTTTTTTTATGCTTATCTTCATCACATATTAGCCATCACCTTGTTTTCTTTCAGTGTTTGTTTATCAAGATTATCGTCGTCTATTATCCAAACGGCAGATTTTGCCGTTACCTAGTAATTGATAATTGAGCAAAGTACTAAAAAACAGTCGCCTATCATCTGGTACTTGTAGCTCATTCACTTACCAATTACTAGTTATCAGACAAAGTAAAGGTAAATCTCATCTCTACACATCTGTTCCGAATCCTATGAGACAAGGAAGTAAGGAGGAAAAATATAATGTACGCTAAGACCGTTTGTTCGATTCGTCGATCGAAAGTTCTAACCAATAGCAGACCAACCGGTTGCCAATACATGATTCCATCTTTGCAGCATATAGGGTGAACACCTGTCTTTGTCGGTCTAAGTTGTTGGTAAAACCTGAAATCAAGATTTCATACTTGAAGAACTTACTTTGTGTATCATGATGACAACTGCAGAAGCGCCTATGAGCCCATCGAAGAAGAAGTCATTGCCTCATCACTAATAATAGATGCTTTTTTTCTTCCCTTTGTTTTGTTCGCTTGTTACAGAAGAACGCTTTCTATATTTTCTTTACCTTCCTTCACATGAAAATTTAAGAGTAACCATAAACCTTTTTGTTGTACATCATATAGCAAAAAAGTACAGAGAGTTTCCGTGAATTCTGCTCTTTTGATAATGCAGACAATTCTCGTTGAGTAAATGTGTTGAATATGGAATTTGCTCTCGAAAAACTTTCTAATGAATATATATTCTACCTTTTCATCGAAACCATACTTCTCTTCGCATTGTCTCTGTTGTAGATTAATCTAGTTCTAATGAATAATAACGACGTATTCATCAAAGATGTATGTTGGGAACAACATCCTCCTACTGAATTAATAGAAAGCGAAGACCGATTAAAAAATGCATCAATACAAAGAAGTGTTTCTATCGCTAGTGACAATGAAGAAGGACCAGACCAAAGTTTATCATTCGTGTATGTATTTTTGCTTTCAATTTCAATTGTAGTTCGTCTCTCTCTTCGTTAGAGCACGCGTTTATGAGTCAACAGCAAAGCTTTTTAGACGTTATTTGGAGTTTATTTTATTTACTATCATATTGATTGTCATTGGTATTCTTACGGTTTGCTTTACGTCACCCAAAGCGAAAGGTATGTATGTGTAATACTCTATTCATATTCGACTTTTATCAATGTATAATAACCACTCCATGCTTCAAATACTTTCATGGAAGTTGGCAACTAAAAACGATTCAAAGCTTTTTATTCTTCCAAGCTCATATTGAGAGTACGGGAGAAAGTCATAAAAATAAATGTACGAACATTCGCTCTTGTTTATAAAACTGTCTACCATGCAGAATTCAGAATTTTGTTGACTCGTGCATTTTTTTAAAGGAGCTGGTTATTATACACTAGAATTCTGTTTTTGCCTTTTTTAATTCTCAATGGAATTCTATGTACCAAAAGACAAAGTTTACAGGAGATGACAATCAAAGGACAGTACTATCCTGTTCTGGTGTGTTTATATTCAAGAGATAATTCTATGTTGTCAATACTAATAGTAATAGAATTCTGTTTAAATTCTGCTTCTTTCATAAAATTCTTCATTAAAATTCATTCGGAGGTTGGTTGTGTACAACACTCCTATGTTTATGCTTCGTTTGTTTTCTACCCTTGCATCCATCACTACCTCTAAGATAATGTTCGACTTTTCGTTTTGTATTGACAAATCTATAAAATTCTGAATTCTGCTTGCTAGGCATTCTGGAGATGCTCGTTTACGTAGTATTGATAAGATTTTTTTGCTGTCGAATCGGGACTTTTCGCAGACATCCATATAACAGACTTTTTATCAGCTGGAGTCCAGAATCAAACTAGTCGTTTTTTCACTGGCTATTCTGAATATTCAACTGCCTCGTCCAATCAACGAAGTTTGATTCAATAGGTTCCAACAGTGGCATACAATGGCTTGAAAGAAATGTTAGTCATATTTTTCTAATGATCCTATTCATGCATCTATAATAACAGGTGTCCCAGAAAGAATGGGCCTCCCAATATTTTGAAGATTTCTCGTCTATTATTCGTGTGATTAAAGCCCCTTTTATTATCAAAAGATAGCGCTTGAAATTCGCTACAAAACCATATATGATTAGGCCTAAATCTGTTTTAAATATATTTGAAAAAAGACGAAAACTAAAGACATGCAAACAGCGGTAAAAAGTAAATGTGCGATTCATAAGAAATAGCCGCAATTTGCATTTCATATTTTAGTCTCTAAATACGTTTTATTAAAAAACAAAATATACTACAAGATGCAGCGTGAAAAGCTCTACAATCTAAACTGAAGTTTATTTTAATTGTATACTTTTTGTTTTCAAAAAAAAAGCAAAACTCTGTGCGACCGATGTTCGGCGTTGCGAAAACCGATCGCACAAAATTTGGAGTTTTTTTAACATAAAAACTACAGTAATTAAATAAACTGCTTTTTGTAAACTATAGAGTTTTTCACGCTGCATCTTGTAGTATATTTTGCTTTTTTTAAGAAAACACATTAGATGATGAAAAGATAAAATAAGAAAAAGAAATGCTCGTTCGTGAAAAAAAAAATGATTTTTTCACAATGACGAAAATTGGTCACACAGAGTTTTGCCTTTTTTGAAAACAAAAAGTATATAATTAGAATAAACTTTAGTTTGTAGATTATAGAGCTTTTCACAATGCGTCTAGTGGTATATTTTGTTTTTTTAATAAAACGTATTTAGAGATCAAAATATAAAATGCAAAGTGCGGCCATTTATTATGGAACACCCGTTATTTATTTTTTGCAGCTGTTTCTATGTCTTTAGTTTTCGTCTTTTGTCAAATATATCTAAAACTGTCTTTGGGCCTAGTCTTATATGGTTTTGTAGAGAATTTCAAGCGCTATCGTTTGATAATAAAAAGGGTTTTAATCACACGGATAATAGACGAGAAATCTTAAAAATACTGGGAGGCCCATTCTTTCTGGGACACCCGTTATTTCTTTGGAAATTGATACAATGCCACAAAATCCATTAAGGATATGAGTGTGAGAAGTGATAGTAACGATATTTGGGTCACGACCACTCATATTCACATCCACAATATATTCATGAGAACGTTTCCGTATTGGAGAAGAAAATAAAAATATTAATTTTATGATGAAGACATAGAAATTAAAAAAAAACGTTTTTATAAATTTATTTGTTCGATCTTAGTTGACAGTGTGCTTTAAGGTGTCTCGAGTCGTCATCTGTATAGATTAACTGAGTAAGAGAGTGCCCTAATTCTGAATAATTTTGATATTATTACAGCATAGTTCTCCAGAAATAGCACAAATTCTTAAAAACATTATTTTAATAAGCCAATTATTTATGTTCGTGTTGAAATTTGTATGCATGTCATCAACACCGCACAAAAATCAGCGATTTAATTACAATTTCTTAGGTCCATTCATAGCCTAAATTGGTGACTATTGTCGCGATGTTTTTTCGATTTTTTTCTGCTGATTTCAAAAGAAAGTAGCGATTACTCAAATAATATTTCTGATGATCTAATGTGCTCGTAATATTTGGATCTGCGACTACGACTACGTCTCGACATGTATACCACCGTCGTTTGCTGTCGTGCTTCTAAATGTTTCTTGTAAATGAGAAGAGAGATGATTTCTTTCTCCTCATCCTCAGTAAATAATACAAAAAGCATTCTTTTTTTTTTGTTTTGAAGAAAATAATACTTACTGTTTACTTTGATGAACAAATTACTGTAGTCGCAATTTATTGTAATATCCCAAAAATTACTGATTTTTCTCTGCTCAAATCACAATCAATCATCAAAAGTAACGCGATTTTGATCACATGAGAGTTCTTTCGTTTTCATCTGTTATATCTGTTAACTTTCTCATTTGTTTGCGTGGATCATTCAATTATCTATTCTTTGCATTATAGTGTTATTTTTCTTTTTCACTCATAACTCTAACTAATTCTTTCTTCGTGGCCTTTTCATTTCTATTGAAGAGTTAATATAATTAGTAGATCGGTAATCCAAACAAGTAACTGAATACGATTCGGTTCTTCAAATTACAGTGCTTTCATCGAAATATTTTATTCTGGCATGTGCAATGCTGAAAAATGTAGATAGATTGAAGGTTACCAATAATATCATTCTTCAACCATTCTATTTATTGAATATAGCAAAATATAATTGTCATTTGTTTGTTTTACTGTTCGTAGCAGCAGAGACGAGGAAAAAGCGAATAGCTCTTGTTTCTGAGTTCATCGAGATACATAATAGATGGTTAATATTTGTTGTAGATATAAAAAATGTGTGCAATAGGCTTATTTCTCCATTACGTTAATAGCCAGACTAATAATAATGCACAATGAAAATGATATAAAATAAAATAAATAAGAAGTGAATAGGAACAAGACAGAGAAAAAAAATTTGTTCGAAATGCAAAAGTAAAAAAGATAGGGCGTTTGCTGACAATCGGTTATCATTGAAAAAGAACTTTTCAGCAATAAATGGGACTGTGCTACCAAGGTTTTTTAGTAGACTCTAATAAGTTTTGTTTTTATTTCAATTCAACTGAAATATTTTCTTTGGTCAGTTTAAACTTTACGTCTTTTTCTGTCGACTTAATCTTATGAGGATGCTGGATATATATACAACATGAACTTTTTTATGCATTGATGCGAAATACTTCCAATTTAGAATAAAAATTGATGATACACAAACTTACTTCAGCAAAAATATTGAAGATGGTAGTCAGATGACTAATTATCTATTAGTCTTTTTAACTTTTCGACAATAAGAGAAACCTATCTGAAAAACAAAGTCCGGAGTTTTATAAGATACAGAATGGTCTGTGTGTTCAACATATAATGAAACCTTTAAATTGTAGTTCCAAAACCCAGAAAATAAAATAAAAGTGTCTCAATTTTTATTAGATACCCAATTACATAATGAAATCACATTCGCTCTTCCTAGGTATAATTCAAGCTGAAACTCGAAAAATTAATGCATTTTCAAAATCTTCAATGGTTTACAGATGTTGTGTGATCAAAATTTTAAGAAGCAGTTTCTTTGATTTTCATGGTTTCAAAATGGTTTCTAGCATCATAAATCATATTGTTTTTCCTTGACTAACATTCTGGAGACTCTTTTCTTATTGCTTTCTTTTCTAGATCATATATCCATCAATACTTGCGGCTAAAACCGAAAGTTCACTCAAAGGGAGATTCCACCTTGAAGAAAGATTTTACTCGAGGCAGGGTGGAGTGAGTTGCTAGGGAATAAATGATTTAATGTCGAGGTTAGGTGAAACAAGGAGAACGTTTTTCGGGGCGGTGAGAGACGAGGAGTGAAGAATTCTCCTCCTTTCGATCTCTGATCATTAATTAAAGTGAGAAAACTCGGCTATGAATCTCTCACTACAGTGACATCGATGATTAATTGGCAATTTTATATTGCACGGTAATATTCACGAAAAGACCGAAAATTTTTCCCCGTGCGCTTAGACCCATATGACGAAGAAGCTTTAGGATTTCGTTTACTCAATTATTACTACGAAGATGGTAAGTGATAATTGTTAAAAATTAATAGCAAAAAATCATAACTTAGTTATACTTCTAAAGCGATGAATTATTCTTCGACATTTGATCGGACCGACCTAGTGACAAGATCGGCATAAACATGCCACTTGAAGTCCATCTCTGTTGCACACTGATAAAAGTGAACAAATTAAATGCTCAGTATTTTTTTGTAAACGCGCAGTATAATTTACTCAATATGATATACAAACTATCAGTAAATAAATCAAATGATCAGTATAAAATTAAAAGTTCAGTATTAGTAATTAATTCAGTTTGCTCATTTTAAAAATTTATTTATTTTATAAACAGGTAGTACATTGATTAGTAGCCATTTAAATTTTTTCGATGAAAACATACAAATGTCAATATATAAGTGCTTCTTGATGCTGACTAGTGAGGACTTCATCAGTCCAACGTATCACATAAAATCAAATATGCATTTATATCTATTTTCTTCTTTTATCTTCTTTCCTTTGCTTTAAGTTATTTTTCAAACGTTCACTTCTATTGGTATAATTCTGATTTTTTTCTCTCTCGTCAAGTTTTTCTCCAAAAGTTATTGGTTTTTTCCTAGTCCGCTAAGAATATATATAGCTATATTATTTCTAATTTGGTTTGGAAAAGGCAACGATGATGGAAATAATTGAAGTAACAGTTTATGTTTCTGATGAGGAGATAAATATTAACGAAATATTTAATAATGGAAACAATAAAGGAGTGAAAAAGAGACAACGAGATTGGTTAAAAGGAAGTATTTAGCAACGCTGAATAGGTTGAAGATGCAGCTACAAAAGAAAATAATTGGTATGCTACATTATCGACAGGTAAATTAAAGTGATGACATGTTGTGCACAATCATCCTGCATTTTTCAAAAGATGTATATATAAACATGTCATCGGTATGACAAATATATTAAACTGCTGCCAACCACCTGATGCTAAAAAGCGTTAAAGTTGGTGAAAAAAGACGTCGTAGTAGGCTAACAATATCTACAAAAACATTGCTTATGCATTAAATTTTTGCTAATTGTAATCCCACGTTGCATATTTGTTTAGAGTAGTAACATGGGTATACTGCAAAACGCGAAAGAACCGACTATATACTGAAAATTTATCGACGGTAGCTCCCACACCTTCCGGTTCCAACTATAAACGACTGCAGTGCATATTTTCTACGTGAATTTCAAGTTTTTATTAGAAGAAACTTAGATTTAGTCAGAAACAAAGTTTTATAATATATTTTTCTTATAAAAATGTATCCATCTCGAAATTGGGATCGATTTTGCGCCCTGTGGCTGGTACAGACGTCTCAAACGCATCAGCATTATCATGATGTGACGAGAACGATATAATTCTGTTAGTTTTAATAGACGTCAAAAAAGCTCTGCCGTTTGAATATAATGCACTATGCTATATCTTTTGCAAAAAAAAAATATCGGGGGGGGTTTTATCTGGTTCGAATCAGATTGGACTATACTATTTTTACTGATATAAATAAATTAAAAACTCAGCAAAAATAAATTAAAAACTGAACCTTTTCAAATTATTTTCTGTATTAAAACTTAGTTTTTACTAACCAAAAACTATTAAACGTGTAATAAAAAGATACTGAGCATTTAGTATATAATATATTGAGCAATAAAATACAAGTCCTCATAAAACAGCGATCTATTATTTCAATTCTCCCAAGGATAACACGTTTCTCGAGCAATCTCCATTATCAATGAAAAGAAATGTATCCTAACTGTCAAACCAATTGCATCTTCTTTCTAGAACCAATATGCCCTTTTCTATTGGTATCTCAGACTCAAGATTGGATTGGTACCGAAGATCGTAAATTGGCAATTGCATTAGGTGATTTCAATAATGATAATCACTTGGATATCATTGTCGTTCAACGAGACAACAACAGTATGCATATCTTCGTGGGATATGGAAACGGAACATTTTCCAAGAAACCAACAACATCAATAGCTTTGTCTTCTCTGCCGTACTCCATTGCAGTCGGCGATTTTAACAATGACAGTTGGTTGGATATCGCCGTCGCTAATCATGATCACAATAATATTGGCATCTTCGTTGGCTATGATAATGGAACTTTTGCAAAGGAAAAAATCCATTCAACTGGTGCTTCTCGTCCGCTGTCACTCTGGGTTCACGATTTCAACAACGATAAACGATTAGACATTATCGTCGCCAACGATGGCACGAACAATATAGGTATATTTCTGGGATATGGTGATGGAACTTTTGCAAATCAGACGTTGCTTTCAACTGGCTTTGACTCTCTTCCTCGTGCGGTCGTTGTTGCTGATTTTAACAACGACGATCGACCAGATATCGCTGTTGCCAACGCTGGCATCAACAACATAGGAGTGTTTCTTGGAAATGGTGATGGAAGTTTTTCAAATCAAACTACGTATTCAGCAGGCGATTACCCTGTTTCATTGGCCGTTGGTGATTTGAATAATGACACTCGACTGGATATCGTTGTATGCAACAGTAATGGTAATAATGTACGTATCCTACTTGGAAATGACGATGGAATGTTTACAACCCAAGCTATCTATAAAACAGGCTTCGGTTCTTATCCTACTTCGGTGGCTGTGCGCGATTTCAACAAAGACAAGCGACTAGATATAATCGTTGCTAATAGTGGCAGCAATAATATAGGTCTACTTCTTGGAAATGGTGATGGAACCTTCGAAAAAGAGAGGTTATATCCAATAAGCATTAGTTCTCCGCAAATAGTCATCACTGAGGATTTGAATAACGATACTTGGATTGATATCGTCGTCGCCATTGATGACGTATATAATGTAGCTGTCTTTCTTGGTGGTCCAGACAAAAACTTTACCAATCTAACAACATATCCAACGGGTGGCAACTCTTATACGAGGTTTGTTGCTGTGGGTGACTTCAACAACGACGCTCGGTTGGATATTGTTGAAGCAAATTATTACAGAGACGATATAGGAGTGTTTCTTGGACAAGGAGATGGAAATTTTGCTATGAAAATTGAATATTCAACGGGATCAGGTTCTCAGCCATATTCAGTTACCGTTGGTGATTTTAACAATGACGCACGACTGGATATTGTCGTAGCCAATTATGGTACTAATAATGTAGGTATCTTTCTTGGAAATGGAAATGGCAATTTTTTACAACAAACTACATATTCAACGGGATCGAGTTCTAACCCATATTCTGTTGCTGTTGGTGATTTTAACAACGACACTCGACTTGATATCGTTGTAGCAAATTATGGTACTAAAAGTATAGGCATCTTTCTTGGAAATGACAATGAAACATTTTCCAATCAAACTACATATATCGCAGGTGGTTATCCTGTCTTTGTGATCGTTGGCGACTTGAACAACGATGCCCGATTGGATATCGTTATAGCCAATTATTATAGTGACAATGTAAGGATCTGGTTTGGAAATGGTGATGGAACTTTTTCCATGAGAGTTACATATCAAACGGGATCAGGTTCTAAGCCGAGTTCAGTTAGTATTGGCGATTTCAATGGCGATACTCGATTGGATATCGTCGTAGCCAATTATGGTACTAACACTGTAGGCGTCTTTCTCGGAAACGACGATGGAACATTCTCAAATCAAACTACATATAAAACTGATTCTGGGCCGCGATCGGTTGTTGTCGGTGATTTGAACAACGATACCCACCTAGATCTCATTGTAGCCAATTACGGCAGTAACAATATAGGCGTGTTCCTTGGAAATGGCGATGCAACTTTTTCGAATCAAACGACATATTCAACTGGATGGAATTCTCAACCGTATTGCGTCGCTATTGGTGATTTCAACAATGACAATAGATTGGATGTGACAGTTGCACTTTACTTTTATTTCTCTATAGGTATCTTTCTTGGATATTACAAATCGCCATTTACAATTCCTGTAATCTACTCAAGTGGCTTGGTTCCAACGCCATTTGCACTCGCTGTTGCGGACTTTGACAATGATACTAGATTGGATATTGTTGCTGCTAATCGAGATGGCGGTAATGTAGCCATTTATTTGAATTCTGCCAATGAAGTTTTCCCAAGTTCGACATTGTATTCAACTGGTTACTCCACTGGTCTGTCTTCTGTTGCGGTGGGTGATTTCAATAATGACAATCGATTTGATATCGTAGTCACTAATCACGATTCTGACAATATTGTTTTCTTTCTCGGGTTCGGTAATGGGAGTTTTGGAAGTACCATTTCATACCCAACTGGACTTCATTCTGGTCCCTGCTCAGTTGCCGTCGGTGATTTTAATAACGACAGTCGAATGGATATTGTAAATGCAAATAATGGTGATGACACTATAGGTTTATTTTTTCATTATGGCTTTGGAGCATTTATGAATAAAGAAAAGTATTCTACTGCTTCTGATAAACCCTCTCATGCGATCGCATTTGGTGATTTTAATAAAGATACACGAATAGATATGGTTGTAGCCAATTCAGAGAATTCTACTATAGCTGTGCTTCTTGGAAATGGCAAAGGAGCTTTCTCAAATCAAACTACATATTCTACCGGACCTTATTCATCACCGTTCGCTGTTGCCGTTGGCGATTTCAACAACGACTCACGACTAGATATTGCTGTAGCCAATAAGGATGGCTTGAACGTTGGTGTGTTTCTTGGCAATAGTGATGGAACTTTTTCGGATCAAACCATATATTGGACAGGAGAAAATTCTTTGCCAACTGGGCTTGCTGTTGGTGATTTTAATAATGATGCTCGACTGGACATTGTTGTAACCAATTTTGGTGGTTACTATATATGCGTGCTTCTTGGAACTGGTGATGGAACATTTTTGAATTGCATCATATATCCAACTGGATATTATTCGTGGCCATGGGGTGTCGCGGTTAGCGATTTTAACAATGACACACAACTGGATATTGCTGTAGCCAATAAGTATGGTTTTAATGTAGGTGTATTTCTTGGCAATGGAGATGGAGCTTTTTTGGATCAAAGCACATACTCAACTGGAGATAATTCTTTGCCAATTGGGTTGGCTCTTGGTGACTTTAATAACGATAGTCGAATAGATATTGTTGTAGCCAATTATGGTAGTGAGAATATAGGCGTGTTTCTTGGTAATGGTGATGGAAGTTTTATGAAACAAGTCACATATTCAACTGGCTCTCAGTCTGGTCCGTATTGGGTCACCGTTGGTGATTTCAATAAAGATGCTCAATTGGATATTGCCGTCGTTCTCTCTCTTTCTGATACTTTAGCGATCTACTTTGGAAACGAAAATGGAACATTCAGTCATCCAGCAATATTTGGAACTGGTCCTACAACTTATCCGTGGTATCTGGCAGTTTGTGATTTCAATGATGATAACTGGCTTGACGTAGCCATCGTCGTGGGAAATGTTGATGGTGTTGTTGTATTCTTGGGAGATAAGAATAGAATGTTTCTAGCACCTATAAAATATTCAACAGGCTCAGACTCTGCTCCACAAGCTGTCGCTATTGGCGATTTCAATAACGATAAGAATTTGGATGTAGCCGTTGCAAATAGTATGAGTAATAATGTAGGTATATTTCTGGGATATGGCAATGGATATTTGTCAAACCAAATAACATATTCAACTGGTACTGATTCTCAACCATGGTCAGTGGCTGTTGGTGATCTTAACAACGATACTCGACTCGATATCGTCGTTACTAATCGAAAAAGTAACAATATAGGAGTTTTTCTTGGACATGGAAATGGAACGTTCCGAAATGTAACGATGTATCCAACTGTTTCACTTTCTGATCCAGTATCTATCGCTATTCTAGATTTTAACAGGGATAATAAAATGGACTTTGCTGTTGTCAACTATCTTGCCAACACTATAAACATATTTATCGGATATGGTGATGGAACATTTTCGAACCCAATGACATATTTAACTGGTTATAATTCTCATCCAATTGGGATCGTAGTTGGGGATTTCAATATGGACAACTGGATGGATATTGCGGTGGCCTCTTCTGGTACAAAAAATTTAAAGATTCTTTTGAAATTATGTTAGTTTTTTTGTAAAATTCAATTTGTCTATATTCTTTGCTTCGAGTAAAAACTGAGTGCTCTGTATGGTTACTTCAATTCATATTGACAATCATAATTTTGAAAAGTTTCATTTTTCTGATGATGAATAGTAGGCAAACCAAATAAATCTATTACTGTTTGAAATTTATTTGTGTTAGTATTGACATAACTGTCTTATATACAATCAATAGTATATATTGGAAAGTATGAGTTATTTGAACTTGACTTTAATATTGCAACACTTGAAAGTAGACTCGAGCACTGCTTTTGGACATGGATATCTTTTTGTTTCACTTTCAGCGCATATAACTTCTGTATTGTTCGTTGTTTTTCTCGAGCTTTGGAATGCATGTAGCAGAATATAATCTCTACTTACCTGTTGAAATATTTTCCGAATCCTACTCAAAGGTATGTATCTCCCTCTTTTTTCCAATTTCTTCAAGCGGCATCCCCAATTACTCCTCGGGGACCTATCGAATAAAGGTGTTTAACTGGTCGAAGTGTTGAATCACTTCATGTATTTTATATGGAACAAGTAAAACTAACTTTCATCATCAAAGACATACAATTGATTAATCATTATTGTGCTGCTCGATAGAGGACATGCATCTTCAAAAATGGAGAGAATGTATCTTCTTCACGTACTAACTTACTAGAGTTCTTGTAAACCAGCCAAAAAGAAAATGCATACAAAGGATGTCGATAGACAAGATTACAAATTTGTCATATCCCAGGGACGTAGACAGCAATTGTCTAAGGGGCAAGGGGGTGGGGTACCCGCTAGCAGAAAAAGTTCTTGACCATGTGGATATTTGTTTAGCCCTCTACTTCTCTCCAGATATTTTTCTTCAGAAGGGTGCTTGGACACCTGCCCTGGCTACGCCGTTGTGTTGAAGTAGGAAGGCTGATTGTTTACGAACAGTTCATTGCTAATATCAGAGTCAACAATGTAACTACATCTGTACTATGTTTTGGGCCACGTCCATATTAAATGCAAGTTTTTTGCTTGAAAAAGAAAAGTACATCGGAAGTAATCTATTTGCACAGTGCTCATTTACAAGGTGAAACATATGTCAAACTCGAACTCGGCTGGAAGCTGCTTCAACCTGGTGCATTTCTCGTTGGATATTATTGGAATTCACGATCAATGCGTTGTGTTGTCTTTAGATTTTGCAAAAGTACACAAGTTAATGCCATGGTGATAGATAATACCTGATGCATAGAAAAGAAAAAATCATTATAAACAGTTATTTTTTCAGTTCAATATTATGAGGTCTAATCTATAGAGTGTTTGAAACGGTATATTGTTTAATACTAGTGAGAAAAATTAATCAACTGTCTGTTTGGATAAAATTACTTCCATAAAAAATAGATTTTTCAAATATGGTAGAACATAATTGCTCAACTCATGGACGTTATGTGCAGTTCATGCTGAATAGAAAAGAAAATTCCTTCATTATTATTATATAATACGACTAGCATATAATAAAAAGAGATGTTATCTCTTATTGATTGATGATAGTAGTAATTTCTGAATTTTTATAATTAACGCTGATGTAGTTATCTTGTTCTTAGAGAAAGACGAATATATTAGGAATAGGAGTAAACTAATTTCTATTTTCAGTCGAACTCTAACTTAATTCCCTGATAAGAACTGCCGTTAGTCATTCATAACCGTAATTCGGTTAATTCTGCAGCATTTGAATTAGAAAACCTCGATATTTAGTTTTCAGTCAAGTTGTCCAACACCAATTGTCATCGTAGTTAGCGAATCAAGATGTGTAGAAGATAACTGTGCTGTTGATCATGGAGTCGAAGCAGCAAATACGCGCTCTGCTAATAAGAAAAACTCTATCCACGTATCGACTTCTTCTAAAATTATGAATCTTACCGTAAACCAATATAAATTGACATTTTTTTAATGGAAATACAAGAAATTATTGAATTAATAGACTTCTTACGTAGAGATCGATACAATTTGAAAAAGCACAAGACACAGAACAGAAACCCTATACTGAAGTGAGTTTCATTGCTTGTATTTGAGAATTAATGAAGAGATTGTTGTTGAGTCGAATTGAATTGTCGAATAATTCAATTTGATTTCAGTCTCTAGTTAATACTCTGTTAGCTGCCATCTTTGCAATAGATCATAATTTGCAGTAAAATAACTTTGATTCTGCCATTCATTGTCAAGAATGAATCAAATCTATTCAAGCAGAAATACGATGCTGGTTTAATGATAAAATATTTATTATACATTATATATCTCTGTTTCATACGAAGATTGTTTGACTCTGTAATATTAGATTTGTACACCTCATTTGTTTGTTTTTAGTGAAGCTCGTGTTTATAAAATGTCGCCATTTCAATTTATTGTCGAAAATATTATAGACTTTGACAAGATTTTTATCAGAGAAAGTCAGAGCAAGCCTAAGAGAAATTTTTTAAGGATGTAAGAATAAGGACGGATTCGACGACTAGTTACGAGTTTGATATTGTGCCGTTTATTTTCTGACATTCTACTTTTCGACAGCTAAATGGTAAGATGCGATGTATAGAATAAAACAAGCGCTCTTTTTCCAATAGACAAAGAACTTGGATTATTCTAAAATTATCTGAAAACAAAGAAAACAGTATGATATTGGTCGCTTTTTGTTCCTACACACTAGACTTACTTATTACATCAACACTGAACACCGAAAGTTTTCTTTTTAGCGCGCACTTAAGTATAGCTGAACCATTTTTGTGTGGATCGATGACACATTTGTCCTCATTTCAAATCATAAAAAACTGACCATGATTTTGAAAGATGCACCATGAGTCTCTTTTCAAGATAATATGAATAATTTTGTAAAAGTATCTTTTATCGATTTGAAGCAATGCATTTGCTCAAAACAAAGCAATTAACGCTTTCTGCAGTAATCTATCATATGATAGTTCCAAATATCTTGCTAATGAAGAAATCGGTACGGCTTATCTTCAAGAACAATTATAACTAAAATATTACTATTAATCGTGAATTAATTAAATCTAAAATTAGATTCAGATTCTTCAAGTCTGAAAACATTTCGCTTTAATTTTATTTAACCAAATAAGAGTGTCGTTTACAACATGGTCTACACCATTTTATCAGTCATTGAATGGAAAAACAGACACACAGTCAACTATAAACAGTTTTGGCTGGCAAACGTTTTCTTTGAAAAGTAACATCAACAGTAGCAAATGACCTTATTTAAAAAACAAATGATGGATGATCAAAAAAGCGTGTTAATCGTATGAAGCATGATTTGCGAACGCGTTTATTGATTTTCGCGATGTTCTCTATTTATGTATTCAATTGATCTTCGTCTTATTGTTCAAAGAATTTGACGATTTTTTTTTCTTATAACTATTCAAAATATGTCGAAATTAATTGCCATACATGGAAATTTATCCAGACTGATAAGAAAATGTTCTGTATTGCGAATGAGAAAAGACTCTGGTGTTTTCATTAAACAAAACAAAGATAGTATTTCATCATTGTTACTTAATAATAAAATATTCTAAAAGTTGATTTTTTAATAAAAATATCGAATTCTCTCCTGAAACAATGTTTTAATGATAAAATTTGAAGAAACAGGACAACATTGTCATATTTTTATTTTCATTTATTGAAAAATTTCGTCAATTTCAGTATGATAAATCGTTCCATCTAAATTCATGAAAATTTCTTCTGAGGGAAAATTTTCCACTAGAAACCGTTGACAATGTCTGTCTAATCAAATTAGTCGAATATTGAAAGCTAATTGAAAATCATTTTCATAGCAAAATAATTATCAAAAATACTTCTAATACATCAATCGTTTTAAAACCTTTCGAATTATCATGAGCAGGGTGTGGGTGTTAACGAAGAGATTGCCCAGAAACTAACCCTCGCTTACCATCCAATAGTTTTCTAGCTACAGAATTTAATATTCATTATCGGCCTTGCTTCACTAAATCTCGCGAACAACCTTCATCAAAAACTGATTCATTCATATTTCTGATGACAAAATTCGTTCAAATGTTGTTAATCAACCTATCAGAGTTATATTACCAAAAAGAGATAGTAACGTATCGTAGTCAAAAGGAAACAGTTCACTATTGAAAAAACGTAAAAACCATATTTTATTTTGACCAATATTTCCTTATGTAAGAAGATAATGAAAGAGTCAAAAAATATAAAAACAAAAAAATGTAATAAATGATTCACTATTTTTTTTTGAACTCAATGAAGTACTCGGCACTGCCTTTATTATGCCGATAGTTCTAAAACATTTTAAATATCAACAGACAAACTTCCATGAACATAAATGAGAATGCTAAGTCCAGTTTCACAGAAGCCGATGTTGTCGGTGAGTTAGTCGTCGTCGTAGGATCTGATTTTGTCGGACAGTTAAGATCTGATGTCCAATCATCACTGCCGACACAATTTTTGCACACGAATAACCCGAGTGGATCAACTTTGTCTTTGATTGCTTTGAGTCGATCATATATAGCTTGCGAACCGAAAAATCTCTGTTGCCAATTAGGTTCATTTGGATCGGCTTCGTTCATATAGGAACCGAATTGAGAACCATCTGAAAGTGTATCTAAGAGTTGGACTTGGCGAGCTACTTGATCAGCAACCAGTTGTTGGTCATCTTTAGATGCAGTATCAGGCCAAACTTGACCATAGAACACATGGAGAAGCGCAGTACGCCATGCTGGATTAAGGCTATTGTCTACATTGGATGTATTAGAAACTTGTCCACCAGCGATTAGATTTACCATTAGAGTCGATGGTTTTGCAGATTGACCTTTCATTTGATAAAATACTTGCGAGACATCATCTGGTTTGTTGCGAACGATTGTTTCAGGAATAAGTCGTGAACCTATCAAAAGACTGAATCCAGTGGGATCACATTGTTGAAATGCAACCATATATGCATCGTAGAATGATGGTGCATAAGCAATGAAACTTGTCGAAAAAATTAGATCCGTGTTATTATTCATGAATTTGGTAAATGTTGCATTTGCAACATCAAGATTTCCTTGAGGCCACAGAAATGTTATTGTTAAATTAGTATCAATCAACGATAAATAGCCAGCCCATCCTGCATCAGCCAAGCTAGGTAGCAATCGAACAAAATCTCGAATTAATCTAGAATATCGAAGTTCGCTGAGAGCATGAATAGTCTGTATAGAGCCAATTATATGCGGCGTTGGAAATGTTCGTAGGACAACAGATAGGACAACAGCATATGTACCACCACCCCCACCACTTAATGCCCAAAATAATTCTCCATTTTGACATGGACTTACGGTTTGACGTTGACCATCTGCAGTGACAACATCATATTCGAGTACTTGATCAACCGCCATACCTTTCCAGCGCGATAATGGACTATGGCCACCTCCTTGTAGGTAACCACCAGTCGTTCCTACAGAACCACAAGTTCCACCTATTACTGTCAAACTATACGCAGCCAGCCATTTGTAGACTTCATCCCATTGAACTCCTGCATCGAGACGAATAGCATTGGATACATTAACAACACTGCATGAAGAATATTTCTCAATTAATGTAATGTTTTTCATATAATGAAGCCATAAAAGAAGAGACCCAGTCGTTGTTGATCGACCCATCATATCGTGTCCTGTTGTTTTGATCACTAAGCGAAGATTGTTTGTTGCAGCATATTTTACAGTTGCTTGCACATGTTCAGGCCACGTCGCATTAACAGCGACTACAGGTACAGATCCTTGAGTACATGTAGAGTTTGGGTTGGTGACAGAACATGAGCTATTTTCCCAATTGTAATATTGCATGGCACCCACTTTATAACTACGCCACATTGAATTCGTCCAGTGAGTAAAAGCATCAATACACGCCTCCAAATTGAATTCATGTTTATTACATACAGCAGCCGATGGTCGAGGTGAAACAAGACGACCATCGACAGATTCATTAAACTTTTGCCAACTAGAAGCATTAGGCCAACAAAGAGAGTCACCAGCAAGACAACGACAACGACGTTCTCAAACAAAGAATAGTATGATTCATTTTATAAATAGAAGATTGTTCTAAAACAACAATTTACCTGTCCTTCCCAAATGTTGATTAAGAATGATAATCAAACAAAAATTGATGTAAACAATACGTGCTAACATGTTGCGTATCATTTATGAAAATAAACTTGCTTTTACGTCAAGACACACAAAGAGCCTATATAACACAGTATTATTTATCTATATATTGATAGAAGACATCTAATCGTCTGAGATAACATCTAGTCACTCCAACATAGAGTCTCGACATTATCTTGAATAGTATGCAACAAAATATGATCTTATCTGGAAATTATCTATTAACACAAACTAAGCTGACATCAATATAAATACTGAAAGCATATGTATATTAATTTCCCCTGGAAACGAAGTTTCGCAGCACTAAATGTATATAGTCTTACGCTCAAGCTTTACTTTTGACGATGTTATTTTAAGCATACCTACTTTTATGCTTTTATTCACATGATCGACACGAACAACTCTCATTGACGTCCATAGTTATAACTAAATTCGGTATTAATAAAAGCTAATACCTAATGACTTTGACATTGATTGCCTTCAAGAATATTTACAATCGTACTTCGACCAGAATCGTTTAGAGTCCTACGCATCCATGTAAAATAAGTGTAAACATACGATGAACTCAAGCATATATGAAATTAGTCATTGTTGAACTGGCTTATCAGTAGTTGCGAGCGAAATTCATTGAAAAATTCTTGAAAGAAATCACTGTGTTTGAATCTTTAATTTTGAAGCATTATTACATGTAGTCGACATGCAGTAATGGTTTCAGTTCGGTCATAATGCTTGACTTTATCTTATGTAGCTTTGATTGATTTATTTTTTGAAAATAAAGTTGAAGTATATCATCTAACATAATACTCAAATATTTTCTCTAGGAACTCGTTTGGTTTTATAGATTATGATGATCTATTATTCTTCAAATCGAAGGACCAGTCTTTAATTCAGGTCATTCATCAAATAAAATACACATACAAGATAATCGATATTATAGCCGTCGGATAGAATTGTTCTCTGTTGTCAAACTCAATCCATGTAAAAAAGCGACAAGAAATCTGATATTAATCTAATTTATAAGCGTTTTGATCTACACGAGTAAGTTTGAATCGATGTCGTATGTAGAAACGTATGAAAGACAGAGCTAATTTTACACTTACCATTTGTCGACGCGAAGAATTAGAAAAAAAGAATAGAAAATTGAAGTTTCTAAGTTAAAACTGGAGGAAAACGTGTTTTATAGTCATAGCGATGAAAACCGATTGAAAATTAAATAATCGACTAAAAATATTAAACAACATTAGAATTGGATTAAAATTGTGCTATTTTAATCAATTTTTTGTCGCTTTCTTTTACATGGGAAAGTCTATTGTTTCTACTTACCTCTCAAAGTACAAACTTCCTATCGTTATCAAGAATTTTCATATCAATGGAGATTCTTTTACCTCAGTCACGTAACGAGCACACAGAGCAGTGGATACTTGAAGTTTCTTTTTCGATACAAACCAATACAACGACACCATGCGCGGCAAATACACGGTATTTTATTCTCATGTAAAGGTAGATGCTTTTTCATTAATATAAATTCCCATTGGTGTCAACATACTATGCATAGGCCGTAATTACCTTGTGCTTTGAAAACAGAAAGGTAACTTATTTAATGGCTGACGGTTGACATGAATACAACTTATCTTACCGGTTGATAATGTATGCTTAGTCAATATACAGGTAAAGATTCCTAATCATGTGCTTGATTTGCACGATAAGTGTAGAAAAGACCAAAAAAAACGTCGAGTATTAGAAATCTTGAAAAAAAAATCTTGTAAAGAAACATCGAAAATGATTCTATCGAGTGATGAAAAAATTGAATGATACTAACGTCGCGAAAAAGAAAATGCTGATAGTATCAGCATACAAATTTTAGATTATTCAAATGTAAATAATTTAATATATGAAACAAGATGTGAGGTTCGTCTGAAATGATTTTGATGTTTATTGTAAAATAAATTTATTTCATTCAGATATTTTACAACAGAAAGAATTGGAATAATTTGTATTTAAAGATGCAATTAATGTAATAAATCGACAAGAAACGAATATACTACTGATTTGTTGATGGTTTAAAGATCAGAAAGAATCACATAACTTGATGGCCTTCTTGAAGATATAAGACTAATTATTTAATGCAAATGAATTCATTTATTATTTTTTTCAATAGATTATTGGATAGTTAAGCAACTGATGAATTCTATATTTTGTTGCTTGAATGGCATTGGACAATCCGATTAATTTATATGAATCGAACAATAATTATTTGTAGTGAAACTTTATGAAAGCTAATAAATACTCGAGTAATGAACAAAGAATCTATTAATATTTCTTTAGTAATTTTAATTTATCATTATGACTATAAAAGAGTATTATCTCGCATGTCGTAGTTTGTTCACATTACTACTGGTATACCACGATACTCATAAGAACCAGCGGTACTGCTTACGACTTTTGGTTCCAGCTATAAACGATTACAAACAGTGTTGTCTATTCAAATTTGAATTATTTATTAGATAAAATAGAGATTAATCGAAAAGAAAACAGTTTCAGAATATATTTTTCTGCAGACACCTCAAACACACCAACATTATTCAAATGTATTGAAATCGTCTGTATTCAATCAGTGTTAACAGACTTTAAAAATATTCACCCGTTGTCATACAATACACCATAATACAACATTTTCGAAAAAAGAAAATAGCGCCGGTATAGGATACATTATACTGATCGATATACCAGCGATAATTTCTCAGTAATTATAACATGGAATGCTATTTCTGCTGTTCAAGTAAGAATAATTGCATCTTATTTAGTACATAAATTTCTTGTACATTTAATTTTCCATCATAATTCGAGACGAAAATCATGACATGAGAAAAAACGTAGAAATGAAGTGAAAAGAGTTACTACCTGAACAAATATGCACATTAACATTATCAACACTTATTAAAAACCATTTAAAACTTTATGATAAATTTAATGAAGAAAAAAATTAATTAAATGAGACCAAAAATCATATTGATCTTGTTTGTCTATTTGTTATTTTAGATCAAATAAATCAAAATTATATATCAACTATTCTTAATCAACATATTTTTCAACTTATTCAAACTATAAATATTTAAAATAAATTATTTTGAAAATTTTAGATGAAATATCATATTCAAAAACCGTGAATGTATCACAATTTGTTTTCAATTTATTCTTAAAGTGAACGAAAAAGAAAATTTTTTAAAACCAATATTCAACATAGAACAACTTGCACAACAAAAACTTAGAATATTATTCATAATAGGCAACAGCACTGTAAAAGTGAATCATTCTCAGGTTGCTTTTCGTTCACTGTACATGATATGAGACAATTCTAGTAAACTACCTCAACAATATTTGCTATGGACTATTATGGGACTGTGAACAATATTATCCGAATGTTCTTTTACACTTTGGAAAAAAAAACAAAAGTGAAGATTCCATTAAGATGCACAATCTAATCTTTTTTTCCAGTTTCTTATAGAATATCATTTGCAAAATTGTCAACGGTAGTTACGATGTACTCGAGTATTTCGAAAGATAATATTCCAACATTTTTTCGAACACATCATACATTGCTTTTTCCTGTGACGCAATTCAAATAAACGTGCTTCTCACAGATAACTATACCTTCACAATTAGAAGCTCAATTAATACATATGATTAGTTTTTTTGCTAACCGTTACATTTCTTTATATTTCTCAAAAAATCTGCTCTCAAAAGATGATAATAGCAGCTACATGTGGCAGGGTTTGTACTTTTGTTTTCGCTTCTGGTTTATGCTTTTGTTAAACTGTCATTAAGGCATCACTTGTTCCTCCATATGTCACTATGATAGATAGTGAATCTGCAATCAGTCAAGCTTCATTATTTGGCCATGAATGTCCGTAACTTTTCGAGGTGAGCCTCGTGAACCGAAGGGTTTCACTTTTCAACTGATCACTAGTTGCTCGCGTACGGCACCCGTATAGAGGATTGATATCCAGAACTATGCTCAGTATCTCAATTTCGGATGAGGTAAAACTATTACGATGTGTACATCATGAACGACTTATAGATGACAATTGATATGATCCACAAGAAAACACGAGAAGTTGTACTTGTTTTATCTTCTGTAATGCAAAGGCTTGAATTGAAATATAAGAATGGAAAACATGATTAAAATGTAAATGTTAGTATGTAGAAATATTATCATGACTTGTATGAAAATAAAAAAGAACCAGATACTTTGGAACGCCTCTAATAAGAGTACTGTGAAAGTACACCTACTATGAAACATGATTGCTAATGAATATGAAATTATATTGCGAGAACAGTTATACCATCCCGACACTCTAAGTCTGTGGCAATCATATTGATGTTTTCTTAAGCTCAGTCATAGACTTTAACATACATTTCGACATGTTCTTCTTTTGATTCTATCACTAGCTATGATAAATTTGGTGTAACCTCATCTTCATAATAAAAGTGGTTTCATCGTGTTGCACAGTTCTAATCCTAGAACGATAGCATAGAAATCTTCTCGAAAAATTTCATATAATGCGATTGCGTGTTTAATTATTTTTAAACATCTCTTGCGTAAGAATAATATTTTTGAAAGCATGTGTTGCATATACAACCACTGTCACAATGATGAACTGATATGTCAGAAGGTTCAACTAGGATTCTATCACACATGGAACAAGACGGAGGATTATTAGCTTCAATGGATTTGATCATTGAACATTTGGAGTTGGACCTTGTTCCTTCGAGCTTTGAGCAACTGTCACTCATTGGCTTGCCATTATTGATAAGCGCAAGAAGAAAACGATTTTGTTCAGTATGCTCTTTGATTTGTGTCTGCATGTGTTGTCTTGTTGCATTTAGCTCAGCGCGAAGTTGTTCTATGTGTTTGTCATACTGTTGAGCTTGAGCTTTTAGTTCAGTACGAAGCTCGTCGATAATCGGACGAATTTGTTGAAATGGACACATTCGAACATGTTCAATCCTTTCGTTCGGTCTTCCTGTCCACATACATTTGATATCAGCTGCCAAACACGGAACTATCTTATTTGGACATTGTTCAAAATGATGAAGAATATTGCCTCGTTGAATATTCTTTTGCTTGCATAGAGTACATTGAACGAGAAGACGATCGAGTTGATTGAGTATAATTCGAGTAGCAATCGGTGATAATTCTTGTAACGACATTCGATTACGACAAGTCGGACAAGTATTTTGTTTATTCAACCATTCGATAATACATTGATGACAAAATGTATGACCACATTTTGAAGAAGTAGTCGGCATTTGAAATGGCTGCGTAGATATAGTGCATTTGAGTTCCTCGTCAATATTATCCTCGTTTATATACTCGAAATAATTTGACATCAATAAGGGTAATGACAACTCGATTGCTTGATTTTTTACTGTTGCCATGAATATCTTGAGTATCTGCTAGTGTGTTTTGGCTTTATTATTCTTCTTCTACGTGTCGTCAAACAAAGATATACATTAAAGATAAGATATTTTTCTCCTAAACTAACATATATCGTCATTCGTAACTTCATTGTTTCTTCCAACAGAAAGACAACACAATATAAGATGACATGTGCAAAGTGTGGATGTACGTGCGAGATGATGTGGGCTAGTAGATGTGAGTTTTCTTTTTATCCACACTCATATCACTCACGACCTGCGTTTTATGAATCAAATCAGTCATTTTTCGAAAAGATGTTGAAAAATCTGTAACATACTACTATTAATTTGCAAAATATAGTATGAACAATATGGGTTTGCATAGCTTGAAAAAGAAATTAGTTAGTGATCATGATCATATTTGCACCATCAAAAACTTGAGATCGATGTACTTACTTGATAATTCTGAATGAAGTCTCGATGTGAGATGAAGAGAGGACACTCATCGACATATACATTACGAAAAAGAATTATAAGCTGGAAAATTTACACCTAATATTAACAGGTAAATGACTTGTTAACCATTACTATGAATGAATTAAGTGATACTTGTCGCTCGATTGTTATTATTTTTATTTGTTATTAAGTATAGCTACTGTCACACTCTCATCCATGAAATATTTTGTTTCATTTCAATTGAATCATGTCTTGATTAATGTAGTTACATTAAAACTCTACTGTTTAGTGTTAAAACCATACTTATTCCATCAGAAACATTTAACCGTTTCTTAGACTCTTTGTTAACAAATAAAAATTTTTTGACAAAAGTTTGATCTTCATATTTTTATCTTATGTTTGAACGAATGTTGCCTGATAAAACCTTTCAATAATTCACCTAAATGTTGTGCTCCATAACATATTACAAAATTCGATAAGTACAATTATAATAGCTAAAGAGATTTTTTCATTATACTTTTCAAGTTATGATTTACTACAATTGTTGATAGAAAGTTGTTAAACCTATCATGTAACGATAATTGGTATAAAGACGAACATTATTAATTGACCTTTATCATCTTGCTCTAAGCTGTCTTATTTTCACATATGTGTCAAAAACATATTATTGAGTTAGATTTTTATAGCAAGAAATCATACAAAATGGTTAATATGTTATACTTTCAAATAACTAAAATCAATATTTTAATAGAAACCTTTGATTATTAAACTAAACCATAATCTATCGATAATTCTCGATTATATTTTTTAAGCATCAACTTGGATTCAAAAAGAAAAAACAAATATCTTGATTTTTTTTTGTCTTCTTACAAAACAATACATATGTTTGATCGAAAGATTCGGAATTCTATTTTCAAGAGAAAAACATTGTCATCTATTGTTTGACATAAGATGATTACAAAGTAATTTACGTTTTTATTCATTTATTGTATTATAAAAGTCAATCTGTATACACAAGTTCTGTCTCGTCGGCACGTGTAAAATATGTAATGTGTTTTATGATGCAGTGCGTATCACTTGTGACACGTTCATTGACTTTTTGTTTTGTCATGATCTACCATTCACATTTTGTTCATGATAATATCATTAGTTTGAGATTGAAAAAGAAAAGACTAGATGAACATGTCGATAATCATTATCATTGTCATCATTTTATAATACACATATTTGTAGGTTCAACTTAGTTTTTGTCTTATCATCAATTATTCATCACTGCATGAATATACACACATATTGAATTCATGTTAAGTAGTCAAACGTACATAATTCAGTTAACAAGTAAAGATATTTCATTCAATCGATAAATACATTTATTTATATACTACATATGCCAAGAGATGATAAGTATCTGTACTTATATACATTTCTCAAGAAGGTTAATTGTTTGTCGTACTTGTTCAATAACTATATTTTTTTTTCTCGTCTCATTGATTGTCTCGTAAATGTAAAAGATAGTATTATTCATAATAGGAGGACAGTCAAGCAAACACGAATATCTATGAATAATAAATAAAGAATATGAGATCATTGAATTCATTCAATCATTAAATAGAATAATTAGATACATTGAAATTATTTCAAATCTATTCATTATACATAATTATATATCGACCATTTTTTTTTTCTTTATTTGATCGTTTCTTTTTTATTACTCGATCTTGAAAGTAATGGTATGGTGATAACTATATTTATAACATTTTTCATATGTCGAATTTTATGTATATATTTTTTTTTTCTATTTTACTACAAAATACGATTTATATTTTCTTTTATTTAAGATATGCTTATATTAATAATTAAAATATAATATGCCACGATTATTCATTAATCAACAAACTAAAACTAATACGAATGATGCTTTATCATCAGTTATTGATACTTATGCTGATGCTATACTACGTACATTTGCTTCTCTTAAACCACCCTCATCAATAACATCAGTTACTTATCGAAAATATCATCAATCTCATTCTCTTCTACCAACAGTAAGCTTCTTGTTATTATTATTTCATAAATCATATTGAATTCATTTCTATGTATCCATATGTGTTGTTGTTGTTTTTTGGTATAATTTTATTACTAAAAGATAATCATTACATAGTCATTATGTTATGTCAAACAAAAGAATTCTAAAATTCATACTTAAAATTCAATTAGAAAAAGAAATCACCGAAACTATTTTATTTTAATGACATAAGCTAAGCGAAAAAAAAAAAAGAATAAAATGACCGTCACTATCACTCCGAAAGTTTAGGTAATCGTAGGATAATTTGATAGAAAACGACAAAAAACAACAACAACAATAGTAAAACAGTATGATCTATTGAACAACGATAAGCCAAGTCCAATATTGACTTATGATGAAATGACAACAACTAGTCGCACGAATAATTCAACTATTTCTCCTACATTATTCTAAATAAAGTAGAATACCTTGTGGATATAAAAAAAAAAAAAAAAAAAGAAACGAACACAAGAAAAGGAACAAAACTTAACTCGTTTGTCACATTCGATTGAATGAATAATTGTAGATATAATGCTTGTTTTATAACGACTCGATATATTCTTTGAAGGACGTTGATACTAAGTTATACTTGTATTATACAAGTATTTACTTTTCGTCTTCTCTTTTCATACGAATCAATGAGAAGCAGTTCAAACCAATAAATCAATTTAGTTGCTTCTCAAACACATTGTTCATATCAACGCTTTTTAATTATATTCAAAGTTAAAGAGAAGGCAATTGACACAGGTAAATAAGGCTTCATTATTATTTGATTTAGTCAGTCTATGAAATGTCACGTAAGACAAGACAAGTACAAACGTTTTTTTTTTTTTCTTTTAATCATCATCATAGATATATATGAACATAATACAAAAGAAGTAGATTTTAAAGAAAAAGAAATTTCAAGTATGTAATGTGCGTGTTGTCCAATGTCGGTAAAAATATCAATGATAATATATTATAACGTTATTTGAAATTGTAAAAAGTATTGTGCAGGTGGAAAAAAAATATATATATACACATACTGTATAAATAGTCAGATTTGATAAGAAAATGTTATTTGTTTTGACATTTTACTTGAATACAAACGATTAAAATGAACAAGTTCATCTTACTAAGGATACAATCAATTTTTAGTTCATTTAGTTATTAGAAGAAATATATTCTTATATGTATGCTTTATGTTTAGATATGTGTTTTTTTCTTTTATTTCTAATTGGATTTTCTTTTTTTGATATACTTCATTTAAAACTGAAAGTAGATAGGATTGAATTTCAAAAGTATTAACAAAATCCAATAAGAGAAAAAAAACCTAATCGGCAAATATTGTACGATATATCGTACTCAATTTTGTTGTCACAATGTCTTAGATTCTTTCGTTTTTCTTTTCTTTTTTTTATTATGATTAAGTACCTGACAAAAATAACAACACGTATTACCTATAAAACACTTGTGACAAGGTTTTCGATTGATACGAAAAAAAAGAAAAGAAAAAGAACCAGTAGTTAAAACAACTATATATGGTGTGACAATCATAAAATGAAGTTTTTGATCTGTTCGAACACTAGAAGATGTATACATAAAGGGAAAATATTGATGTAGATCATTCTTCATTTCATTCATTCTGATACTTACTTCTACTATTTCATGTCTCCTGATACATATATTGAAGGTCATAGAAAATAAAAGACAGACAATATTTATGTTTTTGCACGAATTGTTGAAAGAGAATGTATATATATATATGTGTATTGCTGATTACCGTATCTACTCATGTTCACTTTATCTCATATACCTCAATATGAGCTAATGTGTATTCTTTGTTTGCATGCACCTTAAAGTTCTCTTTTTTTCTTCTTCATTTCTACATAGACTAGTCTCATCTTGTTCTGTTTTATTTTATGTGTGTATATATAATCAAGATGATTACATATGCATTTAATTAAGCCGATAGAATAGTAAGAATTTTATTAATGAACATGAATTTTGAAATATCTCTTTCTAATATGACGGTAAGTAAACTATTAGAAGACAAATTCATTCAATTTTTTTTTTGTGCTTCCGTTGAAATTTGCCTTCGAGCTTATTGTTTCTTTTTCCGTTAGCCATGTTGTCAAAACATAAGCTTGTTCATCATATATATATATACATGTATACACATAATTCAATGAAGCAAAGAGAAAAACAAACAGACGATGCTTGAAATTTTTTTTTTTTTTCTTCGTTTCAAGAGTTGACAGCATACAAATATATTTATTCACATCTTAAACGGTGATCATTGAAGTATAATACCGTAAAGGCAAATCATTTTCTTATTACACTTATTTTAGTTGGAACAAAAAAAAAGACGTTCAATCCTAACGAATTACAATTTTCTTTTCCTCTCTGGGTGTGGGCGTGGACTAGTAAACTTTTTTGTTCTTTACTCTTATTTAAAAACGACAAGCATAGACCCCAGAAAAAAAGAAAAGAAAAGAATAAAAGCAAGTGTACAACTTTTCTTTTTTTTTTTTTTTATTCATTTTAAATCTATGATTTAGAATAAGCAAAATGCATAGATTTTTTTTTTTGTATTTCTAGGTAATACACGATTCTTTGGATAATCAATTAATATTAAGTGAAACATCATCATTATCATCATCATCATCAATTGATGAAAATCAATTCAAATTCGAAACACATTTACCAGTAGTTACAAGAAAAACTAAATCATTAAAAAAATTTAAACGATTAATTTCACGTTTGGATAAAATTTATAATAAAAAAAAAATGTCAACTAAAACTTTACTTCCATCATCATCACATATAACTGATCGTTATTTTTTTCGATCATATCCATATAATACAAAAAACAAAAGATTATTATCAAAAAATAAATTAGATACTACACCACCATTATTAAGAAAACGTTATAAATTTTCTTCAACAAATACTGATCAATATAATACTAAAAATATTTATAAATTTCCAACAAATCAATTTGAAAAACGATCACATTCAATAGATCCTAATCGATATTATTTTCCATTAGATAATTCAATTATAAATTCAAGACAAAAATTAACATATCTACCAAAAACTAATGATTTCGAACAAAATTCAATTACATTCATGGAAGGTACATCAACATTTATTTCTGATACACCTTATCTATTTTCAAAAACAACAGAAACACAACAATATCCAAGTACAACATCAACATATGTTCATTCACAAGGTAAGAAAAATATAAAAAGAAAATAATTTTTAATTTATTTTATTCTATAGATACGTCAAAATATCAACATCAACCATCTCAAAGAATATTAGATGGTGTTTCAGATTCATCATTTCATACTTCAATTATAAGTCCTGACTTTCGACAAACAAGACGATTAGATACTGTAACATCAACAAATGGTTCATTATCAAAAATAAAACGACCACGAACAGAAAAAACTACAGTTGTACATTTTGAACCATCATATTTAACTGAAGCACGTGAACGTTTATCTACAAAACAAAATGATCAATTACCAGAATCATTTGAAAAATCAGTTGATCGTCTTGTTTCATCAGTAAATAAAAAATATGGACAACAACAACAACAACAAATGGTTTCACCATCTGATTCATCAACATTAAATTATATAAGTCAATATTATATAAAAGATGATCAACCATTAATTGATTATCCATTAGAAATTGATGATGAACAAAAAAGATATTATTATAATTTAAATACAAATCGTACACATACACAAATAATGAAAAATTTAAATAAGAGTTTAATTGATCGTAATTATCAAATAGATAAAAATCGTTTTAAATCTTTTCAACAAAATGTTCGTCGTTGTTTACGTTCATATGAAAATCAATCATTACAACATGAATTAAATTATGATTTATTACGTTGTTTTTCATCATCTTATTTAAATGATTTAAAACGTGATAATATTCGTTATAATCAAACACGTAATAATATACATTCATATACATATGAAGATATTCAAGATATTCATATGCCATCAAAATTAGAAGCTTATAAAATGAAAACAAATATTGATAGAGAAAAATGTCATCGTTTACAAATATCAATAACAACAGAACCATTATCACCAGTATCATCATCAGGTTTTAGTCCAGTTATGATTGGAAGTTTTAATGAAAATTTAAATACACAATCGACAGGTTTTGAAACTGATCGAAAATCGTATATATCGGTACGAAGAAAATTTGAAATTAATACTATTATCTCTTTAAAAATTTAATGTATTCCATTGCTTTTTGCATAACACAAGTAACTAGAGACTTTTGGATTTTATTATCCGAAAGAGCAATGCGGGCAGCTATTAATCCATATCAAAGATAATCTATTAAATAAAGCACATCATTTTTATTTTATTTTTTTTACGATAAGCTTCTTCTAAACTATTTAAATAAAGTTGAGCAATATCAACAATATGCAATTTCGTATTGTGAAACTCACATATATTTTCGGAGAAAATAGTGAGTTGTGACTCTCCCTTACCTAGACTCTGGTAGTCAATGGTGGGAGGACGAAAGTAAAAAATGTATTGGGTATGTTTTTCTAGCAATCGAAGATCTCTACTGTAGATTCTAACTAGTCTAAATATTGTGGGTTTCTGTAGTTAATGCAGCGAACGAATCTTATTGTCAGTGTCAATCATATCAAAGTTTGTCGAGAGAAAATATAGTTTACTTGGCAGCTTACTGAATGATTAAATCAATGGGTATAGAGTAGACGAATATGATGATTGAAGTGACTTGTGTAACACTATCGAAAGATGTTAAAGTACAGAGGTAGAAATTGGGACCCCAGATATTAATCCCACAGAAATTACGCTTCCAGATTTTTTACATACTACTTTTATTGCCTTTTTCTTTGATGAAAACCTAAAACACAAATGAAAAAATCTATTCTATAGAAAATTTTTTCTTGCTAAAAAATTGTTGAATCGATTTTCTCAATAAGCTTTTTACCCTGTACTTATCAAGTCCGATGCTAAATGGTAAGTATTTAGCATTTTTAGATAGAAAATTTCATATTCTATGTTTCTAAAGTTCTGATGGTATTATTCAGGAACAAAAATCTTAGAACTAATACTTAACAGAATTTATTTTTGATCCACTTAAACAGTTCATGTTTTAAAAAATCAGACGTGCTTTATAAACTGTTTGTTATCATAGAATCTAGTACAGAATGCAATTCTGAATAAAATGATTCAGTATTTAAACTGGAAAATTAAAAACTGACTTGTAACAAAAATCTTTTGTCGTTTTTGTGCTGTTTAACTGTTGAAGTTAAATAGTTGTTGTCAGTCTTTCCAATATTTTGCTCACAAGAGAAACTTATTAGAAAAATTAAGTCGATAGTTGTGTAAAACGAAAAATCCACGTTACTTTTAAATGAATAGCAGAATCTTATTTTCAATTATGTGTTTGTACAGCTCTGAACACTTCATGAAAATTATATTTTTGTTTTTAGAAAAATATAATTCTTTACGTGCTAATAACGCTATGGTGGAGTCAGTTGCAGTGTTTCAAAAGAAGACATATAAATTTTTTTTCTCTTTTCTGAAACCTTCTAATAATTTTATTTCGTTGTATAATATATTTATTTTGATAATACTGTTTGATGCATGCGTTGTATAGCATGCCATTGACAAATTTTGAACCCGACCTACTCTACCAATGTATAGTTAGGTTAATGCAAATATTTAAAAAATTCTGCTACATCACTCATACCATTGAAAAGACGACAACTAAAAGCAAAAATTCGATTATCGTAGACTAATATTTTAAATAAATAGAAAATCAATTCATAGTCATATTTTGAGATTTCATATCGTAAAGTTTTCCTACACCTTTTTGTTTGTTTTTTTTTAATACAGATTGAATTATTGAAAGAAATTTGTTTCATATAGATTTCTCAACCAGTAACAAATACTCGTGTAAATGTTGATCTATTTTATGAAATAATGCAAGAAAGTTTTCTTGGTATTGATGCATCTATTGCTGGTCATGTATCCAAAGCAACACAATTTAAAAAAGAAAAACCTTATCAATATCAAAGAAAAACTCGTCATACTGATAGTGATATTGATATTCAAACATATTCATCAATTTGGTCTGACGATGATGATGATGAATTATATGAAAATCAATATCATATAGAACAAGATAATCAAAGACAAATAAATTTAAATCAACGAAAAATTTCACGTTATCTATCAACAGTTAATCGTTCATTACTAGATCGTCCAAGTGATTTAATAGCTGATTTTTATCTTTCACAATTAAATCGTAATATGCAAGATAGTGTTCGACATATTGAAATAATAGCACGTGATAAAGCTCATAAACAAGAATTTATTTATGATCATAAGAATAAACTAGGTCGAAGTTTATCAGCGGAACATTTATATGAAGTACGTAAAGAACATATTCGTTATAAACAATCATTTAAAACACCAACATCATTTACAACTGAAGATGTAACTGATATTTATAAACCATTTGTATTAGAAAATTATAAAAGAAAAATTGCTATTGAACTTGAACGACGTCGACGAGTACGACAAGAACAATTTAATTTAGATATTTCTAATTCACATGTGTATAATTCTGAAATAGATTTAACTAATAATTTACTTAAATATTCTCATCCACCAATTATTGATATTCATCATCAATCTCATGATGATTTTCTTACTGTATCACCATCAAATGTTCTACAAACAAATGAAATTATCATGGGTCGTGCACGTCGAACATTAATTGATGATGGTAGTAATGAAATTATTCAACATGTTGCTATTGTTTCACCACCACCAGTCTATTCTTTTTTTATACCATCATCACAAACAAATACAACATTAACAACAATGATTAATGATCAACATGAAATTCCACATATAACAACAATTGATCCACCAGATCTTATTGATCGAAAACAAATCTATATTTCACAACAAGATCATAATGATGAAATTATTGATAGTGTATTGAGTACATCACAACAGGTATTATTTATTAAATATTTTGAATTTAAAAAGATCTATTTATGTAGAGTGTGAACTGAAAATTTTTCAATATTTATTCTTTCGAGACAATATTTTTAATTGTCTAAGAAAGAAAAAATAATACCAATTGATCGCACTGATTGTATATAGACAAAATCATCCATAGTGCGACATAGACATTTTTCTCGCTTTCACTTTGATTCTTTATTAATGCTATGTTGAAAATTATAAGCTTCAAGAGTCTTCTACAAAATATATTGTTGAGTTTTGCAAAAAAATATTTTTTTGAACTTGTAGAATGTGTAAGTGGAAACACGTGCAATGAAACCTTCATCCTTGTTTTGGGACTCGTTGATAGATAACGTTAGTTTTTCAATAATAACTTGGCGGACGAAAAGTCTAAGGGCCGAATTACATTTGCTACGTAAAAATTAGCTATAATAATGTTCCAAGCCAATAAATATTCGTATGTTTATATTGAAAAGTCATACTGCTAACAAATGGAACTATCCTTAAGAATATTTTAGTTTTTCTTGTGAAATCACTAAAAAATACTGGATTATAGGTTATCGAATATGTTGATTGCAAATAGAAACATGAGAAATTTACTTAGGTCTTCATATGCTGATTTTATAGAAAATCGGGTTTTTCAGACTAATAAAAATTTTGTCAAAAATGTTTTGTTTCTGCTTAGATTATAAGATATATAAATTTGTCTATAAGACAATAATCTTCTGTTATGTGAATAAATTAGTTCTAGATGATTTGTATCCTTTAAGTAAAAAATAAAACTCTTCCTCAATTCGATCATTCATTTATTATCAATATTGTTTAATTTTTAAGGTCATTGTATCACATCCTCCATATCATCCAAAAACAAAAATCTATACATATATTACTCAGTTGCAAACAAATCAAATCAGTCATGCTAATGAAATTGAACCTGAATCTATTGATAAAAAATTATCTACAATTACTATAAAACCTATTATAACATTAAATCGATATGAAGTAAATCAATTAAATGAATTCTTACAACAAGCTCCACATTTTCAAATTCCTCAAAATAATTATCAACATGCTATGCTTGTCTCATCTAATCAACCACTTTCATTAGCTGTTCATTCAAATAATGAACAAATTACTCAATATATTGAACAAGAACGAATACTTGAACATAGTACTTCAACAATTCTTAGAGATGAACATATGGCTATAGTTCAAGAAGAAACTCCCATATTCGAAAATGTTCAAATAACAAATTTATCGATATCATTGAATACACCTGTAAATGATATATTACATGATAATGATATTTCTCTACATGTTTGTCAAAGTAATCAACAACCAATTATATTAAATTCATCATGTACAAATACATTAGAACCATTTGATGAACAGGATACTAAAAAACATAAAATTTTATTGAATGAAGAAACTAAGGTAAGTTTCTGAATGACAGAAAATTCGAAATATTTGATTGTATTTTTCTTTTGCTTTTATCATAAAAGGATATTGATGAACAATTGCCTGAATATGAAAAAGTTACCATTACAAATGAAATTTCATTTGTTAATCTATTTACACAACCATTAGATATTCAAGTATTCGATGAGTTTGTTTCAGTAAGTATAAAACAATCATTGTTATCGTTATTTTATATGTATATTGCAGCTTATTTTCTTGCTTTCAATTTTATAAAATATTTATTCAAACATAGTTGTGCTTATTTTAATCTATTAATCATTTTTTTTGCATGTGCTTCATATATATGTGACAGAGAAAATTAAAATCTAGAAAAGTAATAAATTCATCATTATTCTTATTCACAATCATTTTATTACCGTAAAATTTATTGTACTGTCTTTGAGAATAACCGAGAATGTGAATGAAAATGTTCTGTTCACTGATAAATTTACACCAAGACCCACACTCTATATCATTTTGAAAGATAACATAATAACATTTACAACAATAAAACAATCGTGAATAAAAGTACTGATGGATTTATTACTGCTAGAACAATTTAACATGATTCTGGATTTTATTTCTCCTATGACATATATATATATATATATATACATACATATATTCTTCTAGCTTGCTTTGCTTCTTGAACAATCAACTACTACTATAGATAAACAACATGCTAAACAAATAAACGACGATAATCATGATGGAAAATTTTATGAAAAAGTCAAAGAAAATATTCGTATACCAATTATTATCGATAATAAAGAATGGAATGATGAATATATTCAAATAATTTCTAATGAATTTCAATCAAATATAGAAAATGCTCAACATAAATATATCGAAAATATTCAATATGAACAAGTAAAAATAAATCTACCACAACAATATATTACTGAATCTATTATAAATAATCAAATATCTAAAGAATTACTTAAAAATTCTTTTCAACAACAATTTATTGATTATGATGAACAAGCTCTATCTTTATTAGATGATTCTTATCTAATACAACATCAACAACAAGCAAATATTCATATTGATGAACAATCTTATTTAAATAATCATATTCATTCTGAAAATATTTTAACATTAAATTATCCTAATCATAATTATAAACAAACATATAAAAATTTTCAACAACAAAAAAAAATTCTAAAACAAAACAATGAAGAATTATTAAAAATTTCATCAGATCATATTGACAAATGTTCAATTGATTCTCAAATATCATCATTTATTGATATGGAAATATTTTTAAATCATTTTGAAGAATGTCTTGATCATGAACAACATTTACCTTTAATCGATCAAATATCTCTTTCTTATGCAACATCAAATACTGAAAGATGTGAACAAAAAAAACGTGCATTACCAATTGAATGGTTTAAACCTACTATTAAATCATACGATGAACAACTTGTCGAACAATGGACTGTTGAAAAAGATATCGATACTATTCAACATGAGGGTACTTTACATCGACAAGCAATTGAATTGTTAACTAATACTGAGGGTGTAAATTTTCTTACAACTAATATATTTCCTATGAATGAAAAATTTCAAGAAAATAATTCAACTTCAATAAATATACAAGAAAATAATAACATAACAGATATTCTTACACATTGTTCTCCAACAAGTGACTATGAAACAGATTCAATAGACAAAGATAACGATACTGTCGTCTCAAATATTAACAATGCTGTTATCATTCCTGTAACATCCACAATAAATATTTTACCTTCATCTTCTATCACAAACACAACTTTATCATCATCATCACCATTACCATCATATACAGCATCAACCGTACCTTTAGTCTACTTTCTTGATGTATTAGCAACTGAAAAAAATGAAATAAATAATCCAACAAGAAATTTTCTATTAACAATTGGTTTTGGTCAAAATGAAAATAATAAAACAATGAATGAAGCAACAAATATTATTTCAACAGTTAATCAAACACAACGACCAACATGGATTAATCGTTCAACAGAATATATTGAAACTTTACCAACAATTATTCATCATGAACAAGAATCTAAAATATCTCCAATACAACAACAAATTTATTTTGCTACTGAAAATCAACTTGATGAAGATGATACAGCACTTTTAATTTATTCACATCGTTTACAATATGGATATGATTTAGGTGATAATATACAAGAACCATTAAGTTCATTTTTTGAATCATCATATATGCATGTACCAATAATAAATGAAATTTATATATATCAAATAAGTTTTCATAATGAATATACACTTTTTCATCCACCAGATATATTACCACATGTGCTTGCTTTTAAAACACAAGATGATGAAATAATTTTACCTACTGAATATCAAATAAATCAACCAGAATTATTATCTTTTGTTCAATCACATGATCTATTCGATAATGAAGAAGATATTCAAATACTTTCATTTAAACATGATCAACCAGCATATATAGAACATTATCATATTCAACCATTATATCCTTTTCCTGAAACATGTTATGCTGAAATAATTCAACCTAATTTTATTATAAAAAATGATGATGATTCATTAACACATATTCTAGCAAGAAAATATGACAAATATGAGGTAAAAAAAAAAAAACATATCAAATATATGCATGTAAATCTATACAATCAATCAATCAATCTAGATTTGATATAAAGTATTATTTGTTTAGTTATAAAATAAAATCATACTTAAAACTTCTTACATAATATAGTGCTTCTTACATTGATTATTACTAATCTCAACGCACTAATGCTTATAGTAATTGTACATAGTTAATCTAAGATTATTTAAAACGAAATAGCTTTGTTATATATCATATGTCCTTATTAATGATATGAAGAACAATGATTTTCTTTTTACGACGATTTAAAAAAAAAATATTTTGACATTGTTTTTTTTTTGAATATTTCAAGTAGTATTTTTTTGGTTTTCATACTTGAGATTTAATACATATGATCAGCTTCAGTTCTAGACGTATGACATTTGAAGATCTTTGTTGATGAATTCGAAAAAAGAAATAATCAATCATATTTATTGTAAAAGAAATTATGTAAAAGAAAGTATATCAAATTCGTTTTCTTTTCTTTTTTTTTTATTCATACGAACACAAAGAAAAAATACAATGAACTCTAATAAATGCCAACATCATTATATCTTTTAACTGATTGACAGGAGCATACTGTTCAATATATTATCGAGACACAATCATCTATCTTTCTTCTTTTTTTTTTTTTTCGTACTCATTCATCTTTTTCGAAAAGATCATTCAACCAAAGGCTTTTGTATATGAACGATAATGATCTTTTTACTGTATACAATCTATTAAACGGTCGAATAACCTTGTTAGAATAGTGATGTGCATTTATATATACATATACATATAGATGAAAGCAAATGATTGTTACAAATTGAGAAGGTCATTTATAGGAAGGCATAGTTACATATTTAAGCATAAAATAAAACTGAATAATTTAAATAAATGTATTTATTTCTATTATCTAGAACGAATATGAATTAAATCAATATGATCAAACTAATTTAATGCTACAAAAAGTTGTCAATAATCAAACAGACCATGAACATTGGAAATTAGAATTCCCAACATCAATAAAACCCTTAGAAAGTAAGAAAAAGAAACAAGTTGTTTTTCTGTATATTTCAAATAAGAAATGGTTGAAGCCCTTGATTTACTCTTACATTTGATGAAATATTTTAATCATGCTTTTACTCATAGAGTCGAAAAAGAAAAAAGAAAAATATTTGTTAATCATCTTTACCTTGAAAAAAATAACATAACTTGAATTTCGTTGATTTTGCTTTCTGTCTTTTTTTTTAAATATTTTACTATTTTTCCTTGTTCTATATTCATTATTATTCATAATGAATTCAATTGATCTAAGCATCTTTTGTTCTAGTCATCATATATATATATATCCGTTCATTGACAATTCTTTCTTTGTCTAAGGCAAGAATATTTTGATGCTGTTATTCTTATACTTGATCATATATATTAAAAATATATGCTATAAAAATAATCCTTAAGTATGTGGTTTTTCGTCGATTTATAAATTGACATCAATTAAAAAGCTACGATTAAGTTTCACAGCATGTATACAAAAAAAAATAAAGGATTACATGATATAGTTAAATATGATCCCATTTTATGTTAGAAATCGAGAACATAACAACAGCGAATAAACTAATAAAATAAAAAAAAAAAAATGTCAAACGATATTTTTTTTTTGTTTTCGATTAAATCATTTTAATAGTCAAGCAAGAAAGAAAAAAAAATATATAAGACTGAAGGTTGATTCTCTCATCAATATTATGAGATCTCAAGGCTTTTTAATGTTCTATCATGAAATAAAATATAAAAAAGAAGCAGCTCAAATGACATGCATCACAGGCAAGGCCATTTTGTACATGACTACCTGATAGAATTTTCTTCGAAATAAAAAAAAAAAAAAGAAAGTCATATAGACGTACGATTCCTCTATTCTTTTTTTTCCTTTTTTTGTTCGTTATGTGTTTTGAAAAAAATATGATTGGCAATAGGTCATTAACTAATGAACATCGAACATAGCAAAAGGTTTCTTTTTTTTTCACCCGGTTTTCTTTTTTTCTTTTGTTCTTTCTACTCAGCAATAACACGAAAATAAAATATAGCTTTTAATCTAACCAGACTAGAGACAAGGTGACAGTTTCTTTTAATATGCCTGCTAGTAAGCATTGGAGAGCCACTGAGCGATGTTTGTGTAAGAAACCGAAAGTGCAATGCAATTCGATGAAGGAGAAAGAAAGAGAAGAGAATCGGCACAATTTAAATGAATCGTGTAGCGCCACCACAGCCTCTGACGATATTTCGGTGATTACTTGTTTGGTGGTGTGGTGATCGATTGCACGAGAGAGAGAGAAAGTGAAATATAGATTCATTTTCATTATTGCGGTTGAGAGAAAAAAGTTTTGAACTTTGCCAAACACAAAAAAGCATCACTTTCTCTTTTTTCTTTTATTATTAAATTCCATAGAACGGAGAGAGGGAGAGAGAAAGTAATCAATCGTCAATGGGAATGTGGAAATCGAGAGAAGCCAATGAAGAAGATACGAAATCGTCTTCCTTCTTCTCCCTATAAAATAAATGTTGAATGGTACCAATAACATTAGTTCTAATTCACTTTACATCCTTTTCTTTCTTTTCGTTCTTTTAATAAAGTCTGATAAGACGAGTGATTTTTATTACCACACGCCCTTATTTCATAGTAGTGCTTCTCAACAACGATGAGCAACGATTACTAGCTATTCTCCTACTTACATATTCATTCTTTTCACGCAAGAACTAAAAAAAAAAGCTAAATGTCTATCATACTCGTACGATTGTTATAAATCCTCTCATTTCTCTTCCATCGACACACACACATACATACATACATACGCATATTCGTTTTTCGGGTTAAATAATGGCTACATCATCACCAACGAAAAAAATTATTGAATTAGAAGCAAATACAACAACACCTCGTGGTGCAACAATTAGATTAACCGTAGAATATCGAAGTAAGATAAATAAAATAATTGAGTAAATCTATTCATATTCTTATGCTAACTTATATACGTATAAATATATATAATATATAGGTTTTAATTGTATGGTTTCTTTTGAATAAAAAAAAAAAAATGATTGATTTTATTTAGTTCGTCCACCAGCTCCAACTGAATCTGGTCTTATCTATGAAGATGTATCAATGAAAAAAACTGTTGATGTTGATATGGGTACAAGTGGTCAATATAAACAACAAGCAACATATAATTATGGAAGTGAAAAAGATATAACAACAAAATATGCACCTATTGAACGTACACCTGGTGTTATACAAGGTCCGTTAGTACCAACTCCTATTGATAGAAAAGATGATAATATTCTTGTACCTGAAAGAGTTATTGAACATATAAGTGAAGATGAAAAATCAACATCAAGTGAAGAAGCTTTTTTTGAAGAATGGAGTGAAGAATTTCGTTGTCGTCGTACAGATGAATATGATCAAAATACAAATAGATTAATTCGATCAGTAATTGATGAAACAAGTGATCGTATTAAAAGTGATGTTGTTAAAGAAGAATATAAAGAAAAAAATGTACGTATTAAACGACATAAAAGTTATGATATTATTAGAGAAGTTAATCGATGTGTACCATCAAATACAATAATACCTATTAATCAAGTACAAACAAATCTTTATGAGGAGATTACTCAACCTCCTCCTCCTTCTCATCCAATTTCCTCATTACCAATATCGATGACGATGTCATCGTCATCATTACCACAAGATCGACAATGGACTACTGAGGATACTTATACAGCAGAAATTGCCATTGATTCAAATCTTTCGAAAGATATTGAATCACGAACACAAAAATTTGATTCATCATCAAAGAATTATGATCGTGTGCGTCCTGCTCGATATTCACCAATACCATCAACAACTCAAGCTACTTTATCAACAATTCCATTATCAACTTATGAACGTATATCAACTATTGTAACACCAACAACATTAAATTATCCAGAAAAACGAAAACAAGAACATGAAGATGTTGTTAGTGAAGAATATCATGTTGAAATTGAAACACCAAAAACTCGAGAAGAAAGATCAGAAGAAGATTTACTTGATAGTTATATTACATCAAATCAAACATCACCAAGTCGACGAGATTCAGATTGGAGAAATAGACTTAGACAAATCTATGCTCCAACATCCGATGATGATCGATTTGATCAGGTAAATTAAAAAAAAAAAAAAGATTTTTTTTTTTCTTCATAATGAAGAAACTATCGCAACTGTAATCCGCTGTTTGAATTCACAAGGAGAAATCTAAAGAGGTTCATCATCATAAACCTTTGTATTGAATTTCCAATTCCATATTAGGTAAATTAGTAAAAAATCAAATAAAGAAATATCAACTTGAAATTTTATGCCATAGATAAGATATCATGATTCGCATGAAGAAACTATCCGAATTGATATGCGCCGTTTAAGTTCATATTGAATTCATCAAGAGATCTCCTTCTAAACTCAATATGATCTTCAACGGTAGATACAAGTTCGAGTCGTTTTTTCATTAGAATATCCTGAAAATAATATTCGAAAAGAATGTTTCTTTATCGAGATATTTAATTTTACATATAATAGGTCAAGATGAACTCTTTTATACTTTTCCTAGTCTTATAAAGACGTTTTTGTGAACTCAAACAATGAATTACATTTGGGAATAAATATCTTATGAGAAAAAATGTTCGAATGAGAAGATACCATATTCCCTATAGCATAAAAAATATATCAATGGAAATTACACTGCTCAACGTGTATCTATTATTCCATCATATACTCAACAACGTTTTAAAGAAGTTCAAGTTAATGTTCCTGAACGTGATAGAACATATTTTGATCCACGAAAATTTGAATCAACACCCCCATTACGACATACTACCAATGAGATACTCATATCTGTACCACGAAGTTCACCATCAGAAAGAAAATATCATTATTCATCCGTAAATGAAAATGAACAGAAAAGGAAACGAGTATATTTTGTTGATGTAAGTCAAGAAAATGAGATATAATACTTGTGTTACATGTGTGATATGACTTCTTTGATTTTTTTTGACATGAATACTAACTGATGTTTTGTTTTCTTCTTTATTTATTTATTTTTTTGATTAATTGATCGATATTTTGTTTTAGTCTCCAACACGAGAAAAAGTTATTTCAACATCATCAATTGATGATGATGATCGTCAACAATCATTAAAACAAATATCTTCAACAAATATTGATGAACATCGAAAACAATATCAATCAATTACAAATAAAACTGATCGACCATCATTTGGTCGTGTTGGTGAATTAAAAAATGCATTTGAATCAACTCGAAATGGATTTATTAAAGATGATAATACATCAAAATATCAACCATCAATAACAACTGGTTTAACAGAACAACGACGAAAACTTTTCGAAGAACGTGAACAAACAAATAAAGAATGGCCACGACGATCGGTAAGATAAAAAAAAAAAAAAAAGGAAAAGAAAAAGATTCTTTTCATCTGCTTGGGATTTGTATTAATAATGATTGCATTTGTGAAGTGTTTGCTTACTTGTCTTATTTTCTTTCTTTCATCATACTAATCAATATGGGAGGGGTTTAAAAAAACAAAAAGTTAAACTATACTATTCATCATGTTAATAGATATATATACATAGGATGGTAATAATAAAAGTTTTCAGGTATGCATTCATCTTTATGGTATAATTTAAGAAGGAAATATTTCAAAGAAGAATTTATGAAAAAAAAAAAACTAAAGAAAACAAATACATTTAATTTTATAATTAATTAGATCAATGATATTCATACAAATGAACGTCGTATGAGTGAAACTCATACATCACCATCTATTGTAACTGATCGTTTATCTCATATTGATAGTATTGAATCAAAATTAACATCACGTATACAAGCAAATAATCGTCTTGGTAAAGCAGAATTTGATACACTTACATCTAAACTTGAATCATCAATAATAAAACCAATACCACAAACAACACTTGATATACAAATAAGAAAAAAACAAGGAATATCAACAATTGATTCAGATTTAAATCGTTTATCACAAACAACACATAAATCAACCAAACAAAAACATATTGAAGATGCTGGTCATGAAAGTGAAGATGAATTAAGTGATCCAAAACAAATTTATGATACACGACGACGTATATCAAAAGGACGTTTACGAGATTTTTCA